CTCAGCAAGGACTGCTGTTGTGCAGAGGGCTAAGCCACTGCTTGCAGCGCCAGCATGTTTCCGTTGCTCTGCTTTCCATTTAGCTCCCTGCTAATGCGCCTGGGAAAGCAAGGCAAGACAGCAGGAGTCCGTGGGCCCCTGCCACCCATGTGGGAAACCTGGAAGGAGGTCCAGGCTCCTTCCGTCTGGGCCAGCCCTTGTTCTCTGGCCGTGAGGGGAGTGAACCACTACATGGAAGACCTGCCCCTCCGCCACCCTGGCTCCCACTTTGTGTGGCCCAGCATTTATGATAAATAAAGACATCCAAGATTTACACATCTGTGGGTTCCAGAGGGATCTCAAAACAAGCAAGACGGCTGGACTTTATTTCTTCTTTGTAAAGGAAAAGGGAAACCAAGAGAGAGGTCTTGGGGTTGACTCCCCGTGAGTAGCAAAGGCCAAGAGTGGGCCGGGTCAGGTCCAGGAGCAGGTAGCTCCGTCGGCTCTCATGCAGGCTCATGTGCAGGTTGCTGGCTCGGCAGGGGAGCAGCCAGAGCTTGAAGCCACACTCTGACTTGGGTGCTGGTGTTGCAGGCCGAAGTCGCATCCACTGGGCCAGAACCCTGGCCCCAGTAGGGGTTTCAGGAGACCTTAGCTCGTGGGGCAGGGCGGCATGGTGCTTGCGCAGGTCAGTTGCTGACAGCTCTGGTACCCCAGGACGCAGCCCCTGCTGAGCCATGCTGCTTCCTCAGAGCGTCCCTGGTGCTGTGGCCATTCCAAGGTGCCTGTCAGTCTGGTGACGCTCTCCAGGGGCTTGGAGAAGTTTGCCAGCAGAGAGGTTGCTTTCCCAGGTGTCCGTGTGGGTCTGAACATCATCTCCTGTGTACAGAAGAGAAGGGACTTTCCCAGGCACGCAGCCAACTGTGGGCCCTGGGTATACGCACTAGCATTGGCAGTGAGGATACCCAGCACAGCGTGGGTACTGGGAGTGGACTGCAGCACCAGGAGTGAGCTGCCTGTGGGTGTCTAGCGGTCTGCAGTGGATGGTCTGTGTGTGGTCCTGGTCGTAGTGTGACTCCTAAGCTGTTAGTTACCTGTGCTGTTCACACGTGAAACCAGTGACTCCATTGTAACACGAGCATTCTTTCCTGGAAACATCACTCACCAGGCTTCATCCTGCAGGGATTTCTCTGTGTGTGTGTTTGTTTTTTTTTAATTTTCTAGTTGTTGCTCTAATTTCTTCTCATACGGGGCTGTGTGTGTGTGTGTGTGTGTTTAATTTTCTAGTTGTTGCTCTAATTTCTTCTCATACGGGACTGTGTGTGTGTGTGTGTGTGTGAGAGAGAGAGAGAGAGAGAGGGAAAGAGACTGATGCCCAGCAGTTGGTGTCAAACCTTTGGCCACAAGTATGCAATGGCAGGGGTGGGCTTTAGGCGTGGGGGCGGTTAGGGTGAGTTTCACACAGTCCATTGTTAAGGCTGCCCTGGTCTGTGTGTGGGACAGCGCCGTTACCTCAAAGTGTGCACCTGCTTTGCATCTTAAACAGTAAACAGTTTATTATCTGGTAGATAATTTTGTTTTTTGGATGTTGGCTATTTATAGATGTGCAAAGGAAATGTTCTTTTTTTGTTGTTAAGATTTATTTATTCATTTATTGGAAAGTCAGATTTACTGAGAGAAGGAGAGACAAAGATCTTCCATCTGTTGGTTCATCCCCCAGGTGGCTGCAGTGGACGGAGCTGAGCTGATCTGAAGCCAGGAGCTTCTTCCAGGTCTCCCACGTGGGCGCAGGGTCCCAAAACTTTGGGCCATCCTCGACTACTTTCCCAGGCCACAGGCAGGGAGCTGGATGGAAAGTGGAGTAGCCAGGACATGAACTGGCACCCATATGGGATCCCGGCATGTGCAGGGTGAGGACTTTAGCCACTACGCTACCATGCCAGGCCCAGAAATGTTGATTCTTGTATAGCTAGTTCACATTTTAGAAAATCAAAATTATAAAGCCAAGTAAGACAGGAGTGTTTAAAAGTATGGTGCCTGATCTTTTCAAGTTTTAGGATCTAAGAAGGAACAGTTTTATTTACTTGCTGCAAGGCTCAGGACGCTGGGAATGAAGTCGTCTGTGTATGTTTTAGATGTGCCAGAGTTTGTAAGTTGTATTCTGTTATAAAGAGAGCAGATTCTGGGCCCGGCGGCGTGGCCTAGCGGCTAGGGTCCTCGCCTTGAACGTGCCGGGATCCCATATGGGTGCTGGTTCTAATCCCGGCAGCTCCACTTCCCATCCAGCTCCCTGCTTGTGGCCTGGGAAAACAGTCAAGGATGGCCCAAGGCTTTGGGACCCTGCACCCGTGTGGGATATCCGGAAGAAGTTCCTGGATCCTGGCTTCGGATCGGCGTAGCATCAGCGGTTGCGCTCACTTGGGGAGTGAATCATCAGATGGAAGATCTTCCTCTCTGTCTCTCCTCCTGTCTGTGTATCTGACTTTCCAATAAATAAATTAGTCTTGAAAAAAAAGAGCAGATTCTTTTTTTTTTCTTAAAGTATTTATTTATTTATTTAGTGGGAGGCAGAGTTACAGAAAGAGGGAGAGACAGAGATACTTGTCTGTTGGTTCATTCCCCCAATGGCCACAGCAGCCAGGAGCGGGGGCTGTGCGGGTCTGCACATGGCAGCTAGGGCCCCAGCCTGTGTATCATCCGCTCTGCTTTCCTGGGGCGCGGGGGAAGCAGAAGGGACTCAGACTCATGCTCTGTGGGCTGTCGAAGTCAGAGTGTGGCTTAACCCGTCCTCCACAGCCCGGAGAGCGGATCCCTAAGTGATGCATGCAGACAGGGCCCGACGCATTGACTCATGGCCTCAATGTGGAGGAAGCTCCTGGCTCCTGGCTTAGGACTGGCACGGCACCTGCTGTAGCGGCCACTTGGGGAGTGAATCGTCGGACGGAAGATCTTCCTCTCTGTCTGTCCTCCTCTCTGTCTCTCCCTCTCTGTGTATATCCAACTTTCCAATAAATAAATAAATCTTAAAAAAAAAAAAACAAAAAAACAGGTCCCTCTGTAGGGCAGGACTGTGGAGCAATCGTCCTGTGTCAGAAGGCTGGGGTCAGGCCTGGCTGCTCTGTTTCTATCCACTTCCAGCGATGCGCCTGGGAGGAGCAGGCCGTGACTGTGTGGACCTCTAGCACTGCTGTCTCAGACCAAGACTGAGTGTGGGTGCCTGATAGCCCTGCCCGCTCCCCTCCCCCTTTCAGATAATCAGATAAATCCTTTAAGAAGCCCTGTGTGTGTACCTTTAACTAAAATACACACCCTTTGCATCTGAATGTCATCGGGCTGTTAGAGGAAGCTCTTTATGGATATTCTTGCCAGAATATTCTGAGTGGTTGATGAGACGAGCCTGTGCTTGTTACCCGAGGAAGCTACCCACCTCATCAGGTGCTCCGCATGCTGGAGTAAAGTGGAACTTGGTGTCACCTCTGTGTGTCTGTGAGGGCGTGTGCACGTGTGGGGAGTGTGTGAACCTGACGCTGTGTACATACATGTGGAATGTGGCGTGCACATGTGTGGGATGTGTGCATACATGGGGTATGGTGTGAACACACGTGTGGGGTAAGGTGCGGAATATACACAGGTGTGGGTGTGGTGTGCACATGTGTGGGGTGTACGTGAATACGGGGCGTGGTTTATACAGAGTGGAGGTGTGGGTGCACACGAGTGTGGGTGTGTGCACAGGAGTGTGGGGTGTACCAGGGCCAGCCGGCATGCTGTGTGACAGCTGTGGGGCAGTGACAGGCTGGGGGGGCTGTCACCACAGGAGACAGGGGCAATGACAGGCTGAGGGGGCTGTCACCACAGGAGACGGGGGCAGTGACAGGCTGAGGGGGCTGTCACCACAGGAGACGGGGGCAGTGACAGGCTGGGGGGGCTGTCACCACAGGAGACAGGGGCAATGACAGGCTGAGGGGGCTGTCACCACAGGAGACGGGGGCAGTGACAGGCTGGGGGGGCTGTCACCACAGGAGACGGGGGCAGTGACAGAATGCGGGGGGGCTGTCACCACAGAAGTGGGGGGACAGTGACAGAATGCGGGGGAGCTGTCACCACAGGAGACGGGGGCAGTGACAGGCTGGGGGGGCTGTCACCACAGGAGACAGGGGCAGTGACAGGCTGGGGGGGCTGTCACCACAGGAGACGGGGGCAGTGACAGGCTGGGGGGGCTGTCACCACAGGAGACGGGGGCAGTGACAGGCTGGGGGGGCTGTCACCACAGGAGACGGGGACAGTGACAGGATGTGTGGGGCTCTCACCACAGAAGTGGGGGGGACAGTGACAGGTTGGGGGTACTCCTTCCCTGACAGTTGGGAGTTTAGTTCAGTGGAGCCATTTCAAATGGCGCTTTCCTCAGCAATGGTTCTTCTCCATCATGAACAGTCAGACTTTCGTCAGCTTGCACATCCGTGTAGCTGCTGCTCAGAAACCTGTTTTCCAGGCTCTGTGCTGGGGCTTCCCAGTGTAGGTCGCCTTCATGGTGAGGTGGACTGGCTGTTCCTTCATGCATGAGTGGGTGGGTGCACCTGAGGGGGTGCCCCTGCCCCTTCCCAGGGCAGCACGAGATGCCCATGCAGCCTGGTGGAGACCCCGCACTGTGACAGAGGGGCAGGGCCAAGGGAACCTGGAGAGAAGGGCAGGTCTTGGCAGGAGAGTGTGCTGATGGGCAGCCCACAGGTGACAGGGTCTCCTCATGTCCGCGTGGTGGGTCACTGCCCTCTGTTGCCTTAGGCTTCTGTGGACAGTGACATCCACCCCTGCTCCCAGACCCGGGGGCACGGGTGGGCAAGGTCACTCCTGCCCCTCGTGTCCAGCCACTTCCTTGACCCTCATGCCGTGACTTGACTGGCACTCTGGCTCCCAGGTCCTCTGCATGTGGTCTCCTCGGGCACCGGCCGCATGAGGGCACGTGTGGGTCTGCTCTGGGCCTGATGGAGGAACACCCGGCCCTAACTGCTGCTTGCTTTCTTGCAGGCTGTGGGAGCTGCTGCCTGCCAGCCTGCTGCCTCCTGGGACCCACGGCTCTACCCCTGCAGGGGTTCAGGTAGGCCACTCGGTCCTGCCCACAGTGACCAGCGCAGACGTCTGGGCTCCCCGTGGCCGACTCGCTGAGTCTGAGTCTCATCCCCGGGCGCGCATCTTCCCGCGGCTGTGCTGCTGCTTAGGCCCCAGTGCTTGCTGGCTGTAAGTGGGACTGGACTTGAGCCAGCAGCTCCGCTCCCATACTTCCTTCCTCCCTGCCATCTACGTGCTCGGTGACACCTCTCCTGTCCTTGCCACCAGCTGTTACTGGGGTGTCGCTGTCCTGCAGCGATGGACTTGGTGCACAGAGCCAATAATATCATGCATGGACCCTGACTGATGATCAATAGCTGATACAGACTTTATACACTGAGGGTCATAAAGGATAAGGAAGGAGGTATTGTGCTTATCAACAAACTCATCCACTGTTTCTTTGCTTCCACCAAGTGTTCTCATGCACATGCTGTCCACTTAACTGATATCCCATCAGCTGTTCAAAAGGTAGCCATTCGGTTGCTTTCATACAAATATTGTCCAATCAGCTGTAATCCTGTGCTCGCTGACCTTCTAGGGTCACAATGTCCTCCTGCACTGGATCTCACCCCCCATGCCTTCGCTGCCTTCCCGCTCTGCCCCGTGCCTTCCCCGCTCTGTCCTGTGCCTTCCCCGCTCTGCCCCGTGCCTTCCCCGCTCTGCCCCGCGCTCTGTCCTGATTCCCTTCTCCTCACTCCCGACATTTGTCTACATCCTTTTCCCGTGGTGTGACTGTTAGAACAGACCTGTGCTTGATACAGAACAGATACTTTTTAAAATTATTATTTATTTTTGTTGGGATGACAGTTTTATATAGAGGAGAGACAGAAAGATCTTCCATCTGCTGGTTCACTCCTCAAATGGTTGCAGTGGCAGTAACTGAGCTGATCCAGAACCAGGAGCTTTTCCAGGTCTCCCACTTGGGTGCAGGGTCCCGAAGATTTGGGTCGTCCTCTACTGCTTTCCCAGGCCACAAGCAGGGAGCTGGATGGGAAGTGAAGCAGCTGGGACACAAACTGGCGCCCATATGGGATGCTGGCACTTGAGAGGGAGGATTAGCCAGTTGAGCCATTATCCCGGGTCTCAGAACAGGTGCTTGCTAAAAACAGGAGTGACTTGGTTTGTCTACTGCCTTGCATTCCTGATTCTCAGTGAGAGACTCAGGTCCAGGACTGTGGTCCCAGCACAATGCCCAGTTAGGCAAGCTGCTGATTTAAAGAGGGGCACCCCAGGAGGACCTCGTGGGTGTGTATTCTGAGGGGGTTGATCGAATAGGCAGGTCACCTGCTAAGGGGTGGTCTGGACGCCCTTCGCTTTAATTGCCTCCCCATCTTGTGTGACCTGGGCTTGTACGGACTGTCAAACTCGGTCCCGACCTTGTCCATGGAGCCCCCACCTGCTGAGTCTGGGACTCCACGGCCTCACGTCCGCAGGGCAGCCAACTACACTCGCTGTGCTGCTCTGTTCCCTCCTGCTTCCACACGGCAGGTGCTTGTGGTCCCGGGCCTGCCACTCTAGCTTGCTCAGAGGCTTTTGAGGTTTGTGGTGTCGTTAAGCAGTCGAACACTGTTGACATCCATGCACACACACATCTGGCATCCTCCAGCACACCTTTCTTGCTCCTGTCTAGGCCCCTGCCTGAAAGTCTCCTGCTGCAGTGGCTTCGTCCCAGCAGCCCTGCTCAGACCAGTCGTGGGCAGCTGCCCAGGCAGGTCTCCTTCCCCTTCCGCTGCGCTGCTCTGTGGTGCCCCCTACAGTTTGTCCTCAGGATTGCCTCTTCACCTTTGCTCCTGGAAAGCAGAGGCCTTCCCCGGCCCAGAACAGCATCCTGTGTCCTGTGTCTGTCCTGTGTCTGCATTCTGTGTCCTGTGTCTGTCCTGTGTTTACATTCTGTGTCCTGTGTCTGTCCTCTGTCCTGTGTCTGTGTCCTGTGTCTGTCCTGTGTCTGTGTCCTGTGTCCGTCCTGTGTCTGTCCTGTGTCTTCTGCTCTGTGTCCTGCGTGCGGAAGCATTTGTGAGTATTGAGTGGGTGGGGAGAGAGCGTGGCAGAGTCACAGCAGCAAGCTGGGCCCCTCGCCGTCAGACAGGCTCATTCTGCATCCACGTGCTGTTGAGGATGTTTCCCTATCTCTGTGGATAGCTGGGATTTTGAAGACATGATGTGGACATGGGCATTAGGGACCCAGCCCCTTCATTCTGGCCTTTTGCTGACACATAGCCTGGGAAGCAACGTTGATGACCCCAAGGAGCGGGGTCTCTGCCACCCTTGTGGGGCACGTGCGTGGAGTTCCTGGCTCCTGGCTTTGACCTTGCTCAGCCCTGGCTGAGCCCTGGTGCAGGCATTCGGAGTGGGCCCGCAGAAGGAAGCTCTACATTTCAAGTGAATCACAGCTTGGATAGAGTGGGAGAACGCAGCCTGTGGGGTGCCAGGGAGGGGATGCCTCTGGGTCCCCGGGCTGATGGTGCTCTTGTGTCTTCCCAGACGCCTTTGCTTCTGCCTCAAGATGATGTGACGTGTTTGGTAGCGCGGAGGAACCATGATGGCCACGCAGACGCTGAGCATAGACGGCTACCAAGACGGGCAGCAAGTGAGAGCCTCGTGCTGCGTCCTCGTGGAGCGGGCGCCTGCCTCGCACGTGCATCCCAGTTTAAGCATGTTGTGTTGTGTGGCTGTTCAGAAATAATGCCCTCTCAAAGCTTTCTGATTATTTCCTCGAGTGGCACTGAGGTTGGCAGCAGCCCCAGGTTTGCATGTTGGTGGGAACTGGTTCTGTTGTTTTTGAAGTTGAGGCGGTTCTGTGGTGCCCAGTGACGGCTCTCAGCATCTCCCTTGGTGACCTTGACGTGACATGCTGGAGCAGGGACTTGTCCCTGGGTGGGCATGCACAGCGGTGCCGTGACAGTGCTGTGGCATGTCCTTGCCCATCCTCCTGCTGCAGCATTGGGCCCTGTGAGCTGAAGGGATTGTTGAGCCCGCCCCAGTCCCTGAGAGCATCCTCTGTGTGCTGTGATGCATATTGCTGGGGTGGGCCCTGCTGGGTGCGATCTCTGAGCACAGGGTGCTAGTGGTGCTGGTGGAATGTGGTCACATGCCAGAGTCCAGCTCCAGCTGGGTTCAGAAGGGGGCGTGGATGAAGCACAAAGAGGAAAGAAAGACAGACCACTAGGATTTCATCATCATAATGGACAATGCGGGAAAGCTGTTCACTTTATTTACACAGAACCAGTCAAACTCTGGCTCAGACTCTTTACATCATGGTCAAGTGGGTGTTTCTAAGGATAATTCTGCAGTTTGTTTTACCTAAAAACAATAGAAGTTCCTGCTACAATTCTTATTCTACTACTCAATCTTGTATCACAAAGAAAAGGAGAACCTAAAGATCAAGGAAAGAACGAAAGCCTAAATACAGGTCCCTTGATTAGCATAAGGTCCATGGGGACAGCCAAGACAGTAGGAATAATAGAAGGCCCTTTTGTAAGACGTTATTATTGACATTAACCTCCAAGCTCACACTGAGTAGAAGGCCAGCCTCACAGCAGCAAACAATGCCTGGATGGATTAGAGTTCTTCTGTAGGGTGGTCTGGTGTTCAATGCAAAAGAAGGTGGAGCTGCATCCAGGTGGTTGTAGAGACATCCTCTGGGCCCTGCCAAACAGCGGGAAGTTCCTTGCGACCCTGCCTGCAATGGAACAATACCCTTCACACCTTCCTGTTCCCCACATCCACTGCACGGACCCCAACATCTCCCCCTCTCTTATTATTAAGTTGGAGGGTGTGGAGTTCTCTGCGAGTGACTTGAATCATGGAGCTCAAATGTCGGAGGATGACTGGGCCAAAAAACAATACAAAAAGGAGAACAATTAGTTTGTTTCCTGAATTTATAAAAAATGAGTAGGAGGTCTTATCAGAAATAAAAGATGAAAGAAATTGTAAGAATTGATTACTAACACTTCCTGAAGAGAGAGCCTGAAAGTGGGAGATGGCAGAAATCTGAGCATGTAATTCCTGAATGCTAAGGCTAGTGGATGTGTCATTCCATGCACCTTGGAGATGAGTCTTAACATCACCGCAAGAGACATGTGAGTCATTATAAGGGAGAGGAGTGACACAAATCCATTTATAAATACTATGGCAAGTGGTACCAAATCTGGTTTTTAAACGTTAAGTTTCATTGCCAATATAAATATCTGCTTCTTCTAATGCACCAATCTTGGCCTCTAAATTGATCAATACTTTCCTATGAACTTATTGCACCAGCTGTAAGAGGTCCAATAAGGTTAACAAATGCAGTGAGGCGCAAATATAAACCACAAAGCATGGACAAAGTTGTTGAAAACAATTCCAAAGCATAAAGATCAGCATCATCATACCATGGTTCAGTCAAATTTACAGGTAACGTGACATATGAGGACCTTCTCAAGACACCAAAAGTACCAGGCATAAGGTTAGAATTAAGGCAATCAGTGACAACACACTTTGTACAAGTTACTGTGTATGCAGAGCCATCTCGGGAAAAGCGAGAGGGAGCTTAAGGCTCCATCTTGTAAGGAAGGAATGTTACTTATCAGCAGTCCTTTTGGAGGTAGCTTGAGTCCTGCGTAGGGATGTCTTCAGTGGTAGATGATAGTCAGCAGATGTACATGTGATGTGTCCTCGTGGCAGGTCTTGATCTGTGCAAACTTCACCTTTAAAACATTTCCAGGTGGAAATGTCCGTTGACCTCAGCAAGGGTAGCACTGAGGCTAGTGAAACTCTGTTGTTTTGGCCGAGGGAGGCAGGAAGGAGAGATAGCACCAAGGTTCCTCCTGGTACCTAGCTCACTACTCTTCCTCTGGGCCTCTGGGAAAGTAGGCTGTAAAGGCAGTCTTTGGGATGTCGGGTTTATAAGTTAGCCATACCTATATAAATTCTGGAGATCTAACTGTTTATTCTGAGAGGCCTTTTGGGGTTTTTAGAGAGGAAGTAGAAGAGAAGTGAAGGAAAAGTTAAAAATAATTATAAAGATCACCCTCAGCAACAACATCAGGTGAAACCTATTAAATAACAGCTTTAGAAAGTGTTTGCCCAAAGGTCTGGTGTTTGCTATAAATTTAAAATACAGGTGCAAGTGTCAATAGTACATTGAAAAGGCAGTGGGGATATACCATGAGTGACCTGGTTATTAAAGGAACTCGAGCACAAGCATGTGGGTGACATAAACACTTCCAACGACAGTCAGATTTACATTGTGTGAGCCACAAGCAATCTTAATTGAAGACAAAACAATAAAGTAGTTTCAGTGATGATCTAAGATCTTTAGACAGTTTAAATTATAAATTGGTTAGAATAACCTGTTTGTAGTAAAATAAGTTTGCATGGTTATTCAGATGGTTTACAGTTATAGACGGAGGAGAATACAAAAGGGATTATGATGAAGATTTCACCAAGATGACTTAGGGAACGTATCAGACAAGTACATCTGTTCTCTAAATAATTTTTCTGTTACAAAAACTTTAAGAGTCAGTTAAAAGTATAGCCTTTCCCAACTAACAAATGTAGACAGTAATGTATAATAACAATTAAAAAAATTTTTTTGCAATAACTCTAGCTGGGAAAGAATGGCATAAAACTAAGATCTGTCGTGTGCCCATTTCTCATCTGATCAAGGAACATTGAAAATAAAACACACACACACATACACTCCCCCCCCCCCCGTTTTTTTAAACTATAGAGGACTGTAAGAGTAAAATTTCAAACAATTTTAACAAAAAAAACATATACCAAGACAGACATAGGTGGCCAGCCACCACATTCGTTCAATTTTAAATAGCTAATAACCCATGATTTCTCATATGGATCCCGAATCAAGGAGTTGTGTTGTATCCAGCTCTCTTGAGTCCCACATGAATCTTCAAAACAAGCAAATTTGGATGATGAGGTACCTATCTATAGGCAGAGGTCAGTGCAAATCCTGAGAGCCAGGAAGCCAGGACTGGCAGCTGAGGCCGTGTAAATCATCACGGTGGCCTCCCCAGATTACCAAGCCTGGCTCCAGAACATAGGATGGCTACTACCCACTGAGGCCTCCAAAATGCTGCAGAGTGCAAGAGAAATCATGTCTGATAAATTTAGGATTTATTAAGGCGCCTTTATAAACCAAGCTTGGCAATAGCAGTACTCATTAAAATTAGTAAGCGAAAAGTCAGCAATGATAACTCAGTCTGAACTAAAACCCTGAGAGAAAAAAATTGGTCATTATTGAAGACCCTGATTTTAGTTATCTTAGCAATATAAATTAACCCAAGAGATATACAGTCAGCAGCCTAGACATATTTGCAAAACTGTAAACATTTATCCTTTTCTGGCTTTTTTGTTGTTAAGCATTACCTGTCCTGGAACTTTTGGAAATACAGAAATTTGAATTAGACTTCTGTGAAAACAAAAAAAAATTTTTTTTGGTAGTTGTATTTTGATATGACAGATTTATGTTCCACTTAGCATCTGACAGTGTCCTTAATACAATCCAAATGCCTACTCAGTTGTATCTACTAAGTAAAACTTTTGAATTTTTAAAATGCATAAAGGATGTCAAGATTTATAACATCTAGTTGAAATAGAATCTCTTTATATAACACAATATAGATGAGATGTAATTATTGGCATTATGTGATCACTTTAAATACCTATACAATAAGTACATAACTTTTATCAATCTTAAGCAGTGTGAACATACTGAAAGCCAGAAAACACAAAGATCACCTCAATATAGAATCTTATATTCTGAGACACTTGAACAGAGCCAGGTCTGGAGTTCACTGGAGCTAACTAGAAAGATTTAATTATTAATTAGATAAAAAACAATTAACAGGAGATGTTATAATAATATGTGCTTTTAAAACTTTGTTGTTATAACAGGATCAGATTTTAATTCCATGAATCAACGATGAATATTTTAGAAAATGCTGCAAACAGTATTTTAAAGGGTATATATATATAAATATAAAGACTAGCAGACAAAAGCACATGGGTGCATCTCATACCTGGAAAATATTTAACAGTGGATTAGATGTTATCTTTATACCAGTTTATATTTGGTGTAAATGTTACACTTTTAAAGCAATGCCTTAAACAATACCTTAAGAGTTATATTCCTAAGATTCAAAAAATGAAGATAAAAATTTAATAAAGTTAAAAGAGATGTTAATTTTGTACAAACATTGTTTATCAAGTACAAGATGCTAGATATTTTTCCGTGAGCCCTGGTTAGTTTATATCCTGCCCCGCTGCTCCTGACTAAAAAAGCTTGGAGGTGGGAGGCTTGACAAAGGGAAAAAAAAGTAAAAGGTCCTGGAGAAACTGCATCTGTGGGCTGAGTATCCTAACAGAGAGGAGGGGGAGGAGGTCAGGGAGTGATTGTACCTGCTGGAGAGAAGAGAGTTTAACCCTGAAGTTGCTGGGCAGGAGGAGGAACTTCTGTAGAGGATGCTTGCAGCTGCAAAATGGCAGGCGGGTGGAAATGTAAACTGGGCAAGGATGTCTAATCAGTGATCTGGAATCCACGTCAGCAAGTCCATGACCTGTGGAAAAATGAAAGCATTCCCTCCAAAA